CTCCTTAATTCCTCCCACCTAACGTCGCCCCCTTCTTTACTTTCCTTTTCTTTAACTCATACGTGATCCAGCTTGCATGTTGTTATTGCTGCAATGTATATCCCTTTTCTTTCAGCGGTGTGCGCCTTACCCACATCACAGTCAACTACATTATGACCTACACTTATCATCATCGCCCCGTGTAATTTAGGAACACAAATATTGGATTAGTTATGAAACAAGAAACGAAGTGCAGAAGGACAACGGACCCATAAAGGAAACAACGACCAAGATCAAGGGACAGCGGCCACGGGCATTTACTATTTCTGTATACTGTACCTTTTGATCTGTTCTTCGCACCTTGTTCTGTATTTATTGATCGCATAGCTCATTTTCGGCGAAGTAATCCCTAATACACTATCGTCATTGCTGAAAACACAACAATCATCTACTTGACAATCGATCCAGAGCAACATATAGTAGTAAAATATCTGAAACAGGCCGTCTGATCTCCAGGGATTTTAAGTTTGGTCCGAGCTTTCTTGCCCAGGTGTGGGTGTGGGTCTGACACTTTGACAAAATGGGCATACCAATGTAGATGTGATGCGGGTTATAGAGAGTATGCAAGAAACTTACATATAACATTTAATCAAGATTGATGGCCGGTTGTGAAGATGACATGTCATACAATGGATTGGTAGTCTTTACAAGCAGAATGCAGCGGAACAGACAACTATACTCTCCTAGTCAAAGGAAACCTATGGAACGCCTGAGAGCCTACACTTAATCACCGATATCCATTGTTCACGGTCTTCTAGCTCTGCTTACAATCATGATAGGAAAAAGTTTGGCAGACAGGAGATCCAAGGAAACGTATAGGTAACTCCGAGCAATAATAGAGATGTTAGTAAGAACTAGACCTCTAATAAGCGCAGCGATCCACAATTTGAACGGCCTGGAGGATATACATGACCTCGGACCACGAAATGAGCCCAAAGAACGAAAAGGAGTTGAACAGACCGAACAGACCCATTTCAAACAGCGCTAGACGCCACGGGTGACTTGCCCACTCTCCATACTTTTCAGCGAGCTTGTCACATGCTGCGAAGATACACGTTGCATCATAACCACTGTGTATTGTATTGAGTCAGTCCTTGTATCTGGTCACATAAGTGAGGAGCAATTCTTACTAAAATCTTCGATAGAACGTTGCTTAGCGGTTCTCACAGGACTCTTGCCATGCATAATATTGTCGAAGCTCTTGGACCCCTGCAGCAGATAATACAGGCCACCCATTATGCAGAATACCCCAAAGGAGAAAACGTAGATGCGGAGAATTGTAGGCCACGAGGTTGGTCCACCAGCAAACCAGCCAAATAAGCAGAAGCAGGTCGCCACGAGATCCACAGCTGCAATAGCTCCTACTAGCTTCCAGGATGGCCGTTTTGAAGCCCAGAAAGCCCCATCTGATCGCGTTATGAAGATGAGCCAGTTCTCTGTCAGCGAAATTTCGAGGAACAAGACCTCATCTCGCTTCCCATAGTCTTGCATTATGCCACCATTCTCCCCAGCAGTCAGAATTGTAGTAAGTGTGATCCATGTGCCTACGGCGAGTACAATACCGAGAAGGATAGACATCCCCCAAAGTTTTGGGAGGTTCCATTTCACAGGAGACTTGGAAAATGGAGCAGTGTCATAGGCGATGGCCAGAGTCGCAATATCGGCAAAGATGGCGATGAATACCACAAGCTGAAGGTTAAGGCTTTCGTTTCTGGTGGCTATCCAGAATCCTAGAAATATCTCCAAGTGTAGCGACAGTGCAATCCTATATACCACGTAAGCGTACATACGGTGGAAGATCTGGCGCGAAGTCTTCAAAGCATCGATGATCGCAGACAAGCCAGGGGCAAGAAACACAATGTCAGCCGCTGAGCGCGCAGCATCTGAGGAACCTTCCACTGCAATTCCAGTATCGGCTTTTTTGAGTGATGGAGCGTCGTTGACGCCGTCACCAGTCATAGCAACCAAATATCCGCGCTGTTGTAAAATGTCCACCACGTTGTACTTGTGCTCAGGGAAGACTTCTGCGAATCCATCGGCAGCTTCGACGAAGTCGTAAACTTCAGAACCGGACATTGTTCCTCCCCCACCGAGCCCAAGGCGCTCTGCATTGTAGACATTTGTGCCCAATCCAAGCTGTCGTGAAGTTTCGCGAGCAATACCAACAGCATCTCCAGTCAGCATTTTTATAGACAGCCCCAGAGTCTGAGCTTCCTTGATAGTCTTTGCAGTATCATGCCGTGGAGGATCTGAACATGGCATTATGCCCAGGATCTCCCACTCGCCATCACCGCACTTCCGAGCCACCCCAAGCGAGCGGAACCCACGTGTTGCAAACTCCGCCACTTTGTTCTTGTATGCCTGTTCAATATCCTCCTGTATCTGATGATCCTGCTGGACTGTTTTCAGTACAAATAAAGGGGATCCCTTGACACACGTGATTCGTTGACCTTGAGGAGACTGGACTACTGCCGTGACCTTCTTGGAGACTGGGTCAAATGGGGAGAACTCGAGCACCTTGAATTGCGGAAGCATCGTTTTGGCGTCTGGGTACTCGTTCAAGGCCTTGAAGAATGCTCTGTCGATGGCATCCATACCCTTCTTCTTTCTGGAAGCAGCTAAGCACGCTGTTAGCATAAGGTCCTCAGGATTGACTCCAGCCACTGTGTAAGGCTCTGTCAATGATAATTTATTCTTAGTCAATGTGCCGGTTTTGTCAGAACAGAGAATCTCGACTCCAGCGAGGGATTCAATAGCAGATAGCTTCTGCACAATCGCTCTTTTCTTTGCCAGATACGCTGCACCAACGGCCATCGTGGTTGTGACAACAGCTGGTAAGCCTACCGGAACACCTATCATAGTGATGGCCAGGGTGAATTCGAGAATGGTTGTTGTATTGTTTGAACGGTAAAATGACGATACCCAGACAACAATCAAGGTTATGACGACAAGGACAAGGAGGACAATACTGATACCATGGAGGACTTCGGTGAAGTGGCCGGTGCCTGTTGACGCAGCATTGACCAGCGCGGCAGCACGTCCTACAGATGTCCAATTGCCAGTTGCTGTAATGAGGATTCGGGCGTAGCCGCGCTTGACGGTAGATGATGCGTAACATACATCTCCTTTGTGCTTGTCAACTGCCAGTGACTCGCCCGTCACAGAAGATTGATCGACTTGAATAGGCGAATTGGTCATCACTCGGCCATCCGCAGGAACTATGGTGCCCTGTGGGAATGATCAGAGACTGTAGGCAGTAGGAGACGTGGCAGGATTGTTACCTCGTCGACTTTCACTATGTCTCCAGGGACCAGTTCAGCTGCATCAACATCTGCCATCTTGCCATCCCGCAACACAACAGCCCTAAGCGCCAGTGATTTCTTCAGCTCCTTAACGATAGACCCAGCCTGGAAATCCTGGACAAACCCCACAGATGCATTGAGCAAAAGGAGGCCACAGATAACCCCTAGGTCTACCCAGTCTCGGAGGTAAGCAGCTAACACGGCTGCCGCCTAAAAACGTCAATATTAGCGAAAAGAAAAACAATAATGAGGATTCCCATGTCGGGGTGCACTTACCTCCATAACAAACTGCACGGGTCCAACAAAGAACGACACGAATTTCACTACGAGGTTTTCTTTCTCCTCCTTCATCTCATTGGAGCCAAATTTCTTGCGACGGAGTATCGCCTCACTTTCATCGAGGCCTGTCAGAAAATCTGTTTGCAGTAGGTTATCTGAGACGGGGCGAAGTCGACCGGCTTGATGGCTCTCCTGTGTGTTTAGTTCCGCACCGCCATCCACGGACTCCAACTCCCCGATGAGAGTATCGATATCCTCTTCTTCTTCACCCTCACCATCATGGATGTCGGAAGGTGTCTTCGCCTCTCTCGATATCTTCTCAACATACTCATGCTCGGTATCCATGTCCTTGGGGTAAGGCAAGGAGATCGCAGTCATAAAGGGGACACTTGGATGCTATAACGAGGAGCTCAGCAATCACACATGAGCGACAAGGGTCTAAAGGATAGACGCGGAAGATGTTAACCTATAAACGTGTAAGATATAACATCCTTTAATTGAAAGTGGAAAGAAAATGCCAGTACTAGAATCGAATGACTCGGTAGGCATACAACGGAAGGGACGCCGACAAGAGCAATGCTATAATTGATTCCTTTGGGAAAGGCAAGTCATCATTGGTAGTAGTACAGGAAGGAACTACCAATATACGACCGGCGTTATTGTATCTGGCGACAAGCGATTTGAAATACGCATTCAACTACTCGAGCGCTTCAGTTCAAAGAGAAATAACAGTGACATCAGCTTGCAAACCTGATAGTAGTGCTACTAGTACTAGAACTGCCTGTTCCATTTCGGTTGTCAAGTAGTTGTAGTGTAGTATATAGTATAGTAAGAGGAGTAAGCGATGCTGGGGGTATCATTGTTGATTTGACAATAAGAAGCCCAATATGCATGGTGACAATAAATCCAGTGATTCAAAGTTCAAGTAATATATCTAATCTCGGTCGAAAGCAATGTAGAATAGTGAAGAGTAGAACTGTATGAGGATGAATGTATACAAAGAGGAGAGACAGGATGGACCAATGAGGACCAGTAGATTACATAATCAAACACCCGACGTCATGTCGGTTTCATTTGATGGCTCTCGCGATGGAGAACTTTACGTTTGCAGAGTCTTACTGATCAACGCGGTCCCTGATCCTTAGTTAACCAGACTGCTCGCTAGCTGTGAATAGGTCGACTTGTGACTGTTGTGGGTGAGGAAGGTGAGAGCTGTGCTGTTTCTAGTGCGTTGCGCATGATGAGCAGGATCACGGTCAAGTGATCTGCACCGACGCCGACGACTTCGAAACTAGAATGCGTCAACCCTGAGACGTGCCCCTCAGCATCTAAAGATACGCGCCCTCTTGCTCTTTTCTGATCCCTTCTACATCAGAAAAAATGAATAGGGAAATTCCAGGGTTCTACTATGGTAAATGACGTGGTTCTGTCTTCATCCGGGGCAACGATGATTGACCGCTCAATAGACCCCGAAAAGAAAAAGTACTTCAAGATCCAGGCCAATCACAAGGCTACCCCAGGATCGCAATATACCCAAGACTCTGTTAAACGGAAGCGCGTAGATCAAGAGGTAGGTGGTCATGCCTTCCAGTTCTCTTCGATCATACTGACTCTTTAAATAGAAGCACCAAAGGAAGATCCATCTGACGAAAAGGGCCACGAAAGAGAAAATCAAAAGGGCGGCTTTTCTGTCAAACCCTCTACTGGGAGTGCAGAGGGAGATCGGGTCTGAAGTTGTATCTTCCAGCATCCGACAAGAACAGAGAAGCTTGATTTGCGCAAGCCAGCTTCGTCGAAACCAACTTCACCAATTCGAGCCCTGGCCTGATGAGTATACCATCAAGCATGTGCTGCGCAACAAGCGCTCAGGCATCTTGATAGCCAGTAAGCTTTCCCCTACATCTAGACCATTCCATTGATGCAATCTAACAATCCTGAAGGTGGCCATCGTGGTGGTGAATCGTCTGTTTCGTAAGCTCAACCTTCCGTCCTGCGCGGTCGTGTATCCGGCAAGCTAACCGCCGACCAAGGGTATGCTTCCCGGATTGCGACCAAGATAAATGGACATATAACCGCACGATGGAGCGTGTTCTCTTCAAAGAACCCTACAGAGTATATCTACCAGCTTCAGTCCCCTTCAAAAACATCCACACTAACTAGCTTCCCCACAGCTATCCTCAGTCTCACTAAGCCACACTGGCTACCTATTGTACGAATCAAAGACACCATCCTCCCCATCCTGTGATTGCTAGCTAGCTGACAGGATCAGGGCGACGATGGATAGTGGTCCGAACGGCGACTCCTTCCTGGCACCGCGAATGCTGCCCGATCCTGACGAAGGTGGAGATTACCGGTGGCCCACGTCGTGTACGTACCTACATAGCAAGCCCGCACTCTCAGTCGTTACACACTTACCACAACGATCAAGCTTGCTAACCCCCGACCCTACTACTATGCAGTTTACCATCCCATCCGTCTCCGCACATCATCATCCCTATGGTGTTCATCCGCCTGCCCAACCGGCGAGATGCCGCTTTTCGCCGTCGGAACCTCAGACGGACTATACACACTCGAGGGATTCGGCAGCTACTGGGCATTATCGAAGAAGTCCTTCCCGAACGATATACTAACAGGGAAACCAATCCTACATCGCCGGGTAGACTCTTCCCATGCTATCGTCTCAAGTGTCGAATGGCTCTCATCCGACGTAATAGCCGCTGGTCTCAAAGACTCGGCTATATTCCTCCACGACTTGCGCAGCGGAGGCAGCGCAACCCGACTTCAACACCCCCACGCAGTCACTAAGATGCGAAGAGTAGATCCCTACCGGATCGTCGTGGCGGGTATAAACTCGGTACGTGTTATGCCCTTCCCACTCACACACCGGCATATAGCCCGACGAGGATCGTATCTGACAGAAATATTCGTTCAAACTATAACAGCTCCAAATGTACGACATCAGATACCCGGCCAACGGCCTCCAACGCAATCCACAACCCAACAAAAAACATCACACGTCAACTAAACCATATCTTACATTTGCGGACTATTCGCCAGAAGGAATACCGGATTTCGACATCAGCTTGGAACTTGGCCTCCTCGCTAGTGGTGTGTATCCCCTCTCCTACTTGACACTCTCTAGCTATTCTACTTTGCAGAGTCGGTAATGACAAGAGTTAATTAACCCTTCATGCTAGCATCCGACGAGCGAAAGATCCAACTCTTCTCTCTCCGAACCGGCGCACAGGTCCCGTCACCATTATCAGGTTATCAATACGCGAACCCCATTTCCTCAGTCTGTTTCGAACCCGGGGACGGATCCCTGCATGGACCTCAAACACCTAGCTTATTAGTCTGCGCGCAAGCTACGGTGGATGAATGGATCTGGTCGAACACGCCAAAGACGAAATGAACATGATTCATGTGATAAGAAGAGAAAAGGAGAAAAAAATAAAAATGCTCTATTCGATGCAACGCTCATTGGGAATATAACTAGAAATACATGAGTGTTAAGAATGGATGAATGAGCATGAAAAAAACCAGATTGATTCCAGATTGCATGCGTCACGATTATATCCCATCCATTGAGGGGGTTAATCCAACCCTCCCGCCAACCATTCGCCAACCTCGACGCCTACTGTCTTGGCCAACTCTCCGATCCAGTCGCCCGAGACATTGACGCACCATTTCTCACCAGCATCCGAGGTCGTGTTACCGCTACTTAACCCTCCGGACCCGAGCCCCATGCGACCGCCGCTCTCGCGACCTGCCGCTGGCACCACGAGTCGTAACCGACGTAATGTAGCAAGCTCGGCGTATATCGCATCGGAAACCGCCGCCAATCGGATGGGGTTTGCTGGGGGATTGGGGTCAATGGCGTGGTAGATAGCGATCAGTCGCTCGAGCGGGAAAGGACGGGCTGTTAGGATCGTTGACGGACCGGTGATACCGGCGTTGCTGCCCACAGCCGAAGTAGTGGCAGAGGAAGTAGCAAAGGCAGACTCCAGAGTGGATTTCGTGATGCGAGTCTTCTCTCTTTTGCCTTTCTTGCTAGGGGTTGACGGGCCTCGGCTCGCCTCCCGACTATCCTCCGCCTGGGCTCGGGAAAGCACCTTCAACCGTCGCCGATGATGTGCGCGTTTATTCCGAGCAGATAAGGAAGAGGAAGAGAATTTCGAGAAGAAGATGGTATCGAGCCGTTGGGGTGTATGTGATGCAAGGTATGCGGAGGTCAAGATCAAGGTCGGGAAGTAAGGTAAAGAAGGAAGGGGTGAAGGGGCCGAGACGGCCGACATTGACGGCTTCGATAGGGAGCCATTTGCGGGAGCTGATTCTTCGGTGACAATGTGATGTACAAGAGCGCCTTCGCCTTGATGGCGGAATAAAGCACGGTTTTTGACCAGAAGTCGCGAGAAGTCCCATTCATTGCTTCCCCCAGGCGGGATATCGCCGTTGGTGATGGGAGCAACGAACTGAGGCCATATCTTCTCGCATATCGATCTGAACGTAGGAATAGAACTCGCCGTAGGCCCAACCAGAGAGTCATATATAGCGGACACAAAATGCGGGTATAATCTCGAAGCTGTCTCGTCATCCAGACCACTCACAGCAGGCGGTCCAGCGTTCAAGATAATCGTGACGGCCTCTTTGCGCGTATACGGAGGGAAGCTAATATGCGGAACGCCCGCAGCTTGAAGAAACAGCGGCCGCGGACTGGAGCTGAGGATAAGGACGACACATAGGGATGGAATCTGCGCAGTAAACAATCAACCCATTAGCAAGGGCTCTCACCAAGAAAACGAACGGGGCAAAAACATACCACTTCTCCCAGCCTCGCCAGCGCAGACAACAGAGTATGCGGTGCTTCACGCTGCTTATCTATCCCATCCAAAACCAGCACGAACTTGCCCTTGTCATTACTGCTGCCGTCCGATAATGAGGCAAGACATTCGCCCAGCAGCACAGCCAGGGAGCTAACATGCTCGCACCTTCCCTTGCCGTATTTCTCCCATTCGTCGCGTTTCCCAAGCGCTTCAAGCGTTGCCCAGAGGATCTTCGTTAGGAGATGACGGCCGGTGATGCATTCCGGACTCCGGACAATAGCATGTGGGACTTCGAGGGCAGCGAGGACATTGCGGACGATAGTCGTTTTGCAAGTTGCGGATATTCCGTGTACAACTAATGTGGATGGGCTGGAAATTCTAGGCTAGTCGGTCGCGTTTATATGTTAATTATTTATTCGGGGTTATTGAAAGGAATTCGGAGGATCTGGGGGAGAAAACATACGCCGAGAAGACTGGCAAGCTGTCTGGTCTGGAGCTCTCGACAAGGCCATTGCTTACTGAGCGATCGGCTGATGTCTGATGGAAGCATAGATGTGAATGGTAAGACACTTGAAGATCTATAGCTTCCGTGAATATTCCGAAAAAGTCGGAGAGGCGTAGAAAAGGATAATGGTAAACGCAACTTTTGAGGTTTCGGCTTTCGCAGCGATCAATGAAGAGAAACGCGGGTAACGGTCATACGCGGTCACGTGCTTCATACATACTCTGGCAGTTCTTGCGAACACATCTCGAACTGCGAATGCGAAGAAGTATCGATCTTGCAATATCTTAAGACATACGGAAAGAGCAATGACTCACTAAATAACATCTTGATTGCCTAAAATATGGGTACATCTAATCTACCGGTACTGCTGATGGAACAGGCGGGAAAGAATGTAAAGCATCAGACACCGCAAAGCTAATCATCCCAACGTGCAACCAACGAAGTGCAAGTTTGCGCAAGCGGGGCCCATAATTGATAGCACAGGGGTAGACATAGGCATGATTCGCAGTCTGTTCCAAGTTTACCATCCATTGCTTCATCCAGAAAATCAAGAACAGCCGCACCAAGCGAGCCATGCAGACAGGTAGAGCCTTCTCATGATGCAAGTGTCAAGATAGCAGGATTTGGTAGATAGAAACAAAAAAGACACAAAAAGGGAGGGGGCTAGAAGCACAATTGGGAAGCGAGGACAAATATGAAACAGCAGTCTTTGCTCCTTATCAGACCGGTAGCATGATCGATGGAGATGGACTTGTGCGCAAGTAAAAAAGAAGACATGTAGAATAAGAAGTAAAGACATTCAAAAGGTATGGTCGTTAAATGGGTGCTAAACGAAGCTCCAGGGCATTGAAAGAATACAGGACATCAAATGAAGTGCAGTAAATGGCTTTATCATCGTTTACATCTTCTCATCAGATATGATCCAGATATGCAAAAAGGTTGCATAGTAATATGATCTCGTCTTCGTATCGGGAATTCTGGTCTTTTCAATTTGATGACAAATTTTCATCGGGGCCGTGAGTCATGAAGATCGTAGCGTCGTCGCACTATGAGTACAATTCAATGAAGAAGGACGGGTGAACCAAAGCGCTGCGTAATGAATCAGAAGTACGCATACAGCTGACTTTGAGCACCAAGATTGCCGTTGGCTTGCGGCACAGCTGAAGCAAATATAGCCTCGCTAGGTCCGCCAGACGGAGCGTTGGAACCTGTCGCAGAGCCAGCGGTGGGAACAAAGTTCTGATTTCCAAACTGGGAACCGACTGGGAAAGGGCTGTGTTGATACATGAAGGACTTCTGTGGTCCCTGAAGAGGACCCGGAAGCTGGGCGGAGTTCATTTCGTTAGGCGTCACTTGTCCGCTAGTTGCGGCACTTCCCCTTCCTGAGCCTTCGGATGCCATCATCTTACCAGCAATACGACGGCCATGGGGGGTTTGACGGATAGAAGGCAATATAGGACGGATGCAATCGACAATCCGCGCTCGAGTTTCAGCATCGGCAAAGTCCATGGCTGTTTGCACCACATAGTTCGCAAATGAGTCGCGGAGCATCTTCTCAAGTTCGGCTCCTGCCAGCATTTCATCGATCATCTGACGCCGGATTTGGAAGTCCGCAGTACGAAGGCACTTCTCGATGACATTCGAGCTAAACTTCTGCTTGGATAGAGCGGGTATGTTGCCTCGGAAATTCTGACATAAGGGCTCAGTGAAATGAGGCTCAGCAAGATCCAAAATATATTGCACAACGTAGTTTCCGAAAGGATCTTGAACAAGAGCAAATGCATTCGCAGTGATTTGAGCAATGAGGCGCGCTTTCTGATCACCAGACGCATGGTCAATGCATCGTTGCAGAACACAACATCCATGGCGATGAGTGCCGACGACCACGCAGTTGGCGCCAACAGCATCGTAAATGAATTGAGCGTCCTCAGCAGAGAGACGGTTGAGACACTTTTGGATCACATGGTTTCCGTTGAGATCCTGAACCAATTCAACAACATGGTCCTCTAGCGAATGGATGACCGTTTGGGTTTGTTCGGCGGTAGAAATAAACTCGATCATCTTTTGGAGCGCCCTGGTACCGTGCTGATTAAGAGCAATCTTAACGAGCTGATGAGCAGCGTTGTTGATCAGGTCAGTCCGCTGTTCATCGTTGGAATATTCGAGCAATTTCTGGCACAGGTAATTGCCGAACGGATCTATATATGGTGTTAGTGAAAGCTCTTACGACATGGGGTCGAGAATGCTCAACAAACCTGTCATGAGTTCAACCACATGAAGGCGCGTTTCCTCGAAGATCATTTGTACATGCTCCGGGTTACGCTCTTCCAATTTTCTCTGCAGGTACCTGCAACCGTGTTGGTCCTTACAAAGGCCATACAACTCGCCTTTATAATGCTCAAGCGGGAAATTTGTGAAGCGAGAGAGCTGAGCGCTATCGTTATCACCGCTTCGTCGGGAGGTAACGCTTTTGGCCGAGCCTTCAGGCATGCGATAAGTGCCATAGGGAGCGTACCCAGCAAAGGGAGCTGCGGCATTGTAGTTTTGCAGCTGACCGCTGACCTGCACTGGAGCGCCCATGTAGGCTTGGATACCATACCCATAGAAGGGTGCCTGGAATGGGGTCAAGGTAGTTGGTGCGACCGTGCTGTTGCTATTGGCAGGACCGGTAGTGATTGGTGGGCCGAAAGGTGTGGCACTAGCTTGCAGAGTAGTCTGCTGGGCCCGGGTTCCCTGCAATTTCGCTTCATCGCGTTCAGGCGAGTCCCTTTGTTGGCGGGAGTTCACAGGGTTCACAGCTGGAATCCGACCCAGGTTGGCATTGTGTTGAATCTGTTCGGCATGCGTCTTAGGAGGAGTGACAGCGGGATTGAAAGGCTCGCCTTTGACTGTAGGAAGATCGTTGGTCGAGTATGAGGACTGCAGGGATGCAGGTCTGCTGGAAGCAGTAGCTGTCAGGTTTTCAGAATGTTCCTCGGCGCTGTAGAGCAGGTTCGCCTCCAGCGAATGTCTAGCAGCATGACGAGCAGATTTTGAAGAATGCGCATGATTCTCGTCAGTTTGATTACCAAGCTGACGGAACATGTTCAGGGCGTTTTGTGGCATGCTCTGATGAGTAGTGCGGTGCCGACTGTGAGTGTTCCAAGTCTCGGGGTTGGGAGTACGTGAATTGGCAAGGTCCAGGGCGTCCGAATTCGCAGACAGCTTGGTCTCATCGTCAGCAAAATGTGATTTTCGCCTGTATTGTCTGAACTTACCAGGCCTGAGTCGTCTCTGCGAGACAGAGTCGGGAACTTGTCGTCCGTATCAGTCAATTTAAGGATACTTTTGAAGTCGGGTGTCGGGATCCTGTCCTCGTCCTTCAAAGTCGCCCGGTCGTCTTCGTTATGAAACAGATATTTGGAAGCATTAAACGACTCCAACCCAGACGAACTGTTGAAGCCCGATAAGGTCGGACGAATCTGTGATCCTATGCCAGTAGAAGGCATTGAGTAGCGATGAATACTGAAGATGTTGTTAGTGAGGGTTGACTGAGCAGATGATGAAGTGGGGAATAGTAGCAAGGGTTGGGAGGGGGTAACTTTTCAATTCAAGTAGTGTTCGGTTTGAAGAAGTGAGGGTAGTTTGAGATGTGAAGGGAACGGGAGATGAGGAATCTTGGAGGGAGAGAGGGGCTGCGGCCCTATTTATGCACTTTCAACAGGAGCGAGTGTTGCAGCACGCCGGACCAGGACAAAGAGGTCGATGAATAGGAGATCAAAGGAGAGTGCAGGGAGAACAATAAGATAACCTGTTACTTACGATGGGCCTGGACGGAAAGGTGAAGTAGGTTCTTGAGTGAAGTCCTCCTTCTCTGAGTTCCTTCGAGAGCCAGGAACAGAGTGAACGGAGAAACGATTGGTTGGTGTTTGAGCAGAGTTGTGATTCACCTGGCTCGGCGGAGTAGTGACTTGAGCAGGTGCAAAGACATTGAAGAAGCCAGGAGAGGAAGTAACACTTGAAGTTGAGAACCGAGTAGGGCGTGTGAAAGCGGGATAGCTATTCTCACGGTACTCTGGGGGTGTCGTAGGTTCGCTGACAGGGCCAGACATGCCAACCTTGGCCAGGTTCTCGGCAATCCGCTCCAAATCTTGCTTTTCTTTCTCATGTTGCATGTCTAAAAGCTTCATATCTTCCTCAAACCTCCTCCTTTGTTCCCGCATGTATTCAATGTGCTGGCGCTTCTTCTCAAACTGTGATGGTGTTAGAGGCGGTTTCAATACAATAGCAGGTCATCAATAAGCAAGTGGACGCATGCCTGAGTATCCACAAACGGAAGTGGGTCATGATGCAGCCCTTCTTCCAGTGGATACTCCAGAGACATACAAAGCAACAAAGATAAGTGTGGAGCGCCAAAGCAAATGGTACCCAGGTAGCAGAAGACTACTGAAGAGCCCAGTGCTAACGAAGTCAAGACATCATGTATAGTACAGGCCGCATTTCAAGCCAGTTGGGTATGTGCATCGGGGACTTTCGTGACGTGGCTAAGCTTACCGATGAAAGCAGATCCAGGTGATCTGGAGCCGGGAGCTGAGAGCTGCTCCCGAGATGGTTCAGATGACTCCAGGAAGCGAGCTTGCTGGAATCTGTTGTAAAGCGGCGCTGAAGATTCCCTCGAACATCGCCCGAGGGTCGCGAGAAAGCCGAGACGAAATTGGAGTGGCCCGGGGAGAGCGAATTATAGCCAGGGAAAGGGGACTCCGAGGGAGGCGACCTTGGGGAAGGGAATCGCAGCTCGTCGAGGCGTTCACTAAGTCCGTTCTTGAATGCCATGGTGGGCAGATTGTTCGGGACGGAGAGCACACTGGACTGATATCATCAGCGAGCCATAACGAGTCAGCAGTCAGCTTATATCAGAATAGGGTGGACGGAGCGAGGCTTAAAAAGGAAGAGATGAGACGATCGTCATCCTTTGGGGCGATTGCAAGCAAAGCAAAGGGCCGAGGATAGAGCACAGGAACCAAGGAGTCGGGAAGGATGAGTTGGTTGGCGGTGTGCTGCTGCTCCAGATAACGGGCAATGTACGGAGTAAGGGGAGTTAAGAGGGGCTGAGGGGTGATTTGGCGGAGAAGATCTCGGAAAAGAACAGCGACTTACACGCAATGAACGCCTCGAGAGTTTAAATTCTCAGGAACAAGAAAGAAAGAGAAAAAAAAAGACTTTTTGCTGCCCACGATATTTGTGTGCACCAAAGTAAAGACCTTTTGATGGGGGGAGTTAAGAGCCGTCCTCCCGCCTAGCAATGCGTTCCTGACGGTGCGGAGATCAATGATGGTGGTTGAATCACAGGGCGCTGGTTGTCGGTATTGCTTGCCCCTACGCTTTCTCGGGATCGAGAGCAGCGTGGACCAGCAAGGAGAATAACGAGCGAACGAACACTAAGGAGATGGGAGGGGGAGAGAAATAACAATGGAGAAGGAAAGATAATTTGTTGTACAGGGAGCTTTGGAGTTCCAAGAGGGAGAGGGAGGAAGAAGGGGGAGGGGAGGGAGGGGGAGAAGAAGGCGACAAGAAGAGTGGGAAGCGAGAGGGGAAGAAAGACGAGGCGTGAGCGGCTGGGAAAGCAAGCGGGGAGCCTGTTAAGTTGTTTAGTTGCTAAACTCGACTCGTTTGGGAAGCGGAGCGTGAAAGCTGCTGGGAGGATGGGCGCGATACTAGTCTATCTGCCCCCTTCCCGACAACTTTCCTGGGACTCAGTAGCTTCCCGGTCGTCTCTAACTACCCTGTCATTCCATTTATTAAGTGCATGGGCGAGAACGTAGTCCCCTGGGACTACCCGTGGTCATGGCAAAATCGATCTCAGTAGTTACGGAGTCCTGTGTCTCTTACTCTTTGTTCCGCTGTGTAGATTGCATCATCTCTTGTTCTCTCTCGTTTCCCGACCGTAATCTTCTAGTAATTCTACAACATTTGGCTCTATTTCCCTTTTCTCAAGCCCCGAAAACATGAAGATCTCCGGGGGAGAAAAAAACAAAATGTAAACCACTACCTTTGTACGTACCAAGACCGAGCGCGTTTAATTCTGCCAGGCGTGCGTGATGAAATACGAAGCTGGTAAAATTAAAAAAAAAGAAAAGAAAGACAAAGAGCCCATTCATCACCCGTTACGATTGTTATTAATCAAATCCCACCCCTCCCGAAGCTGGTGAGCTGTCTTCCTCTGATGACAACCAACTCTCTGGTCGATCATTTGCTTTTCGGACGGATCAAGAATGAATCGTGACCTCCGGCCCCGTGATTGGAGCTTAGATCTCTGACTTAAAATGCTACTGCACGACTTGTTGCGTTGGGACCAGTAGTAGCCCCTGGGTAGGTACAGTTATTCCACCCGGGAATTGGGTTTGCAGCATCTCAAAGAACATGGATTCTTTGTCCGGCTCTCTCTACCTCTCTTGCTCTCTCCTCTTCATGAGCTGGAATATGGATTATTGACGTCCCTTCGAACATAGCAGGAGTTATCCCGATCGCAGATCAGCATCAACATAACTGATGATTTAATGATGTCCTCCCTGCTGGACAGCGGCGCAAGGAGCATCCCCTGTTGGGTGTGCTGGTCGAGAGCGTGGCCTCTGCAAGTGTTTCTGCATCGGGTGGGGACACCGAGTTGATTAGGACGAAAGATGTGACGGCGGATCACGCCCTAGCCACCGCACGTACCTGGGCCAGAGCATACCCTAAAAGACGAAGTTGGGCTCACAGATCATCTACCTACTTTGTCTGCTTCATCAACTCCGGACTACTCATGGGCGAGTAAGATTTCCGGGGCTAATAGCGGCTGCGGTGCAAGTCATAGTTTCAACACTATTATTATTATGATTATTTCATTTCCTTACATCTGTTTTCGTCTTTTTCAGTTGCTCATCCTTTTCCTTTTTTTGGCTCCTACAGAAACCATGCCCCCAAATGGAAGGATCCTTCCTTCGGCGATTAGATAAATGTCTTGTGTTTTAGGTCTTACTGGCGCATGGATCTGCGACATTATTAATGATCGAAGGCTAACCGAATGTACTTTGTATGTATGTTACTATGATTACGGGGCTGCTCACCTCTTTGAGGGTAGTACCAGAAAGTCAATATTTTCGGATTGCCACGCGCGTCCCAGAACGTACGTGACGGACATTGTTTGGTAGGTTAGGGAGGCCGGTAACCTCCTTTACCATCCTTGGCCCGATCCCTGAGGAAACGCTGCGAATTTTCTACTGGCGCCTTTCATGGTGGGCTATTTGGTGTGAACCAGGGTTCATCGCCGGATAACCTAACAATGAATCCCAAGCATTGAGAGTGCGGTCAGCCAGATTTCCATGGGTCCGTCAAATCAACGTAATCTCCGCCCAGGTGATCTCGACCGATTCAACGTTAGGTGTGTGTCAGTGTAATAAAACCTGGCGGCAAATCGCCGTGGTTTTAAATACCCATAGACAATAGTAAATGGGGGGACGTGACTGTCTCATCGCACGGACAATGGCCAATCGATCCCGATGCGTGAATCCCTCCATGTCAAGTCGAACGGCCCTGGGATGACTGACAGCTGCTGATTGGTGCGGCAGGGTAGAAGCGGTGTACAACCATCCAGGGAACACCAGGCGATGCTGATCCATCCGTCTTCGATAGGAGAAAGCTGTCTCCTTGAACGGCCTTTTCTGGTCGGTTGCCGTGATTTTCTACAAGACTCTCCATTTCGGGGCCTGAACCAACTGGAATTGTCCTCACGCTGGGCAGAACCCAGCCTTAGGGCCATTTGTGGGGTATTCTAAATGCTTCGCGAACCGTAGTACAGAGTATAAGACAGGTCGATGATGGGGCCGTTACGGCATAGGAACATGGTAAAGCCCCGGCGGTGGGGTCAAAATATTAGGATTGGAAAATTTGCGAAGTGAATACTCGGCATGACTTTGCTCTGCCGAGATTCGTTCAAATGGAATAGGATGATAACAGTCCTTGCTGGTGATGACGATCCTAAATTGTTTAGGTATCGACCTAACTAGTCGCTTGTTGGGTACATCGCATGAGTCATCTTTCAGACAACTTCGGAAGCTAAGAACAACGGACCTATCTGAGGTCGGCAGATGGGAGATGAGCCCATTAGTACCCACAAGATCCAGGGACGGATTCCGATTTCATGCTAGCCACTGTTGAACCACTTACCAACCACTTTGAACACACTGAATGTACCCCTCCTTCTGAGTAATGACAGTTCCAGTGTCGATGAATCTGTCTGTTCGAGGGCATGAGAGAAAGCAAGGCACACCTTGATGGAACTTTGAATGGTAATAACGTTTAGTACTTCTCTAGCCTTGAACTGACGAACTAAGTCTCCGCGCTACTGAGTAGTTGGTCTGACGGTCATGTTAAGCGTGATGTGTTTCAGATTGGTTCGCCACCGCCGGCGCAGGGATGTTCGCGTACGGTAAGTAATCTGGCAAAGGTTGACAGATTAAGTGGGAAGATTTAGAAAAGCAGGGAACTTTGTATACAATTCCTTTGATTTAGCATATCCTTTCCTTGCCAGTAATTCAAGTCTGCAGTTAACCTGGTGATCAAGAGATAACAACTGCTACTCTGCATGCCACCACGATATCCTCAAGGAAGTAATAGATAATCAATCCATCCATTTCCGTTTACTGACTGTGAGATAACGTAATTTTACCCCCCCGCCAGATAGAATCGCCTCATAATTATTCCATCCAATACACTGCACAAAGTACTGTACCTACAGGATAATACTTACCACCAAGCAGTGTTAATGGCCCCCATGTCCGATGGCTGCAGGAATAGGTCCGAGGGTCATGAAACAACGAGCCTGCGCTTCTTGCTGGGAGCTACTGCACTCATGGCCCATGTATTCTGGAACTGGCTTGCGCGTGACTGCCCATATCTTTAGTACTTGACACCACTTACCCTTGAACGTCATTGGGCATGTATACGCCATGAATTGATAAGACCTTCGTACTCACGTGATGTTGCTCAATGAATGGTTCGACATGGTACTTTTACTTCTGATGGTGGATCCATCAATTGGGAGGCGTTTCGCCGCTCCGCATTTCTGTTTTGGCTATGTTGTTTCCCACTAATCTCTGTGCCTGGAAATCGTCGAATGGAAATCTTTCCGATGGGGAACTTCGACTGCCAAGTGGCAATGTCTTCTAAAATTGCGGTCAAGAGCAAGTCCACCGCCTCAAACATACTTTGTACACAGCAGTGCCTTCTCAAGAGTCATCTCCCCACATGCTCCGCAGAGGACTGAATTGATCTGTCGCCGACTTCTACCCACTCCTCAATATTATGAGCCATACCATTTGCCTGAAATATGCAGTCTGCATCCAAGAAACCAGTAACAGCTGCACTCCATACACCTACTCCAACAGACTGGGTACCGGATACCTCCAGCTCCGGAATGGGTGAAGGCACTTATTTCCTGAAGACTGGACGTGTTGTTGCCCAACCCCGCAAACTACGGAGGTTAGCCGACTTTGCAGCCAGATGTGCAGCCCTGCTTTCTAAAAGAGAACAGTGGCTTCCAATGAGTATAGCCAAATTTTTGGCCCTCAAGTGCTCAGCAATTCTATCTCTATGGTCTTCGTGAAGTATCCAATCAGGCCTTCACATTATAGCAGCACCTCTAATGGCAATTGCGGATGCAGTTTTCTGACTGTATGGCCGCTGATTGGGGCGTCATCTGCTGGCACCTGACTGTCAGCCAACTCGACATGAGGTCTTTAGCTACTGCAGGCATCTGGCATAGCTGGTAGTCTGTTACCATACGACAGAAGAAGCTAGAATCGAATGGGGATTATGCTAATGCACCACATGAATGGTATCCCTTGCGGGAATTTCGGATTTCCCGCGGCTTTTTTGGTTGGTGTTGTATCAAGACCAGTCCATGGAGGTCACGTATTCACCTGACGTGCTTCCACAGTTGGGGCATGGCGATTCCCTGCAGACACTGACTTGAGTTGTACAGGAGCACAGACGTGTTGACCTGCGAGGCTTTTCCATGTACAGACATCCTCGACTATCTGTGGAGACAGTATCCTTGCTAAAGGCGGTTGATACAGATACTACTCTAGGACATACCTGATAAGCTAACGAGGCCTTGTCAGCCTTTTTCTCGAGTGTATCAAGAGGTATGAGACACCAATCGTCAAATATGGATTTGGCATTCACGCATACATCACCTGATTCTGCAGGTGTATCTGGCAAGCTATCCACTTTTCAGGCATCAACGACGCTCGGATATGCGGTAACCTACTTCGTACGTGAGTTTCCTCAATTGTATACATCAAGGTGATTGCACGAGCTCAGCGGATAATATATATCAACTGGGTTGTAAATCACGGGTTATGCGGCTTTACATTGCCCGAGCTAGAACGGTGACTGCTAACAAGGCGCTTTAGTTAAACTGCCCGACTTGACGGCAAACGCGCTCTTCCCACGTATTTTGCATCTACCCATCTTAACTGTAACCTGAATAGTCTGAGGTATCTTGAAAGTCCCACCTCAATGTCTCTCTTATTATATGATGGGTGAGTGATGGTCAATGAAGCCGTCTATACCATAACTTGACAATACCATCAACCGGCCTGACCAGCACACACGTTTTGACATTGCCGTCAAATTCAAAATGATACAGCCAAAAGCAGTAGTTAATTTTTACTGAGGAAATGCGGGGATCATTGTACAGTCTATTTTCAAACTTCCTCCGCGTCCGCATAACGAAACTGTTGTGGCAATTGCTCAAGAACACACCAGATAACATGCGGTAGCTGCTGCGACTTCCGGTGAACAATGGTTTCTCAGATGCATGCTTATCTTTCCATTAACTATTTGGGTTCTAATGTGGCAGACGGGCATGCATCGATCTAATCATACTTTAAACTCAGACATATCCATCGCCTACAATAAGGCATCGGGCAGAATGGAACTCGAATGATGAGCCACATGATGCCCTCGGGCACACCAACATGTTATACTAGTATATTGCGGTTGCGGAGAAGCAGAAGGAGAGACCATTCTCAATGGTCTTCTCGAAGAATGCCCGCCCAAATTGATAGCTTACTCTGCAGAGGGCCTGAGAACATACCGTGCGCATCAGAAGAAGTCACTCAATCAAAAGTGTGATCGAATAATGTAAGTCGAGGAAGATAATCAGACTTGCTACATATTTTCCTTCCGCGTGCCATGAGATCCTCATTCTTAAGACCGGGTAACCATGTGAATGGGCACCATGCAGGATGATAGTAGAGTATCTTGGTTCCCAAGGCAGCCAATCCGGTATGGAATTTTGACTCAATTGGTAGCTCGACTAGACAGTATCATACTGGTGCGGATGCGTTCTATGTGAGTGACTCCGGTTGCGAACGGAAAAGCAAGGACAATAAACAAATCCTTCGGTTTGCTGACTGGCTACACATCACCCAAGAGCCGCGACATGATACATCATGCAGGCTTGATGATAATTTGAAAGGGCAGCATATTGCAAGGCAGAATTGAAATTACCTGAGGCATTCGCCTCAAACCCCGCAAGTGACAGCCGCTTCGACTGGGAGTCAGCCCAATCTACAAAATCTGCGGTCACGGTGCTCGAGCCTCTGGATTTCACGGGCTGTCTGCAGAAATAAATGGCTACCCTTCTGAGAAATGCCTCTCGTGATCAAAAAATAGGTTTCACCTATTCACTCGAGTCCTGAATTTCGTGAAAGCCTGATGTCATTGTTCCGACACCGATAGTCTCCAGACTGCCCTGGAAGAAAGTCTCCCAGAACCTACCATCAAGATCAGAGAACGATTTCACTTACAGATGCGGTAGCTCAATCCTTCCAACACATCCTAGATGCTGACCGCTGCATATACATCTGGGATTGTCAGTAGTAGTATGTCTCTGCATTAGCAAAGCTGTCTGGCTCTTCTGATGGTGGGCTTGAGTTTCTACCATTAGTAGTATCTATGTACTATTACTACTATCAGACATGAAACAACTTGATTAACAAGCTTTAGCATGGCCCGAAACATACTAGTATCAATTATAGAGTCCGCGACATCAAGTCCGAGTTGCCGTGATACATGAATACTCTGTCCTTTAGCTACTAGTACTTTAGTCATGACATAGTAACTACAGTAATATGTAGAAAATGCTGGGCCAGGGACTATAGTGCAAAGGCCATATGATGTATCAGTTCTTTACCACTTCCTCCGGCAGTCGCCCCGGGGCGGCACTTGCACTTTACGCTTGTTCCAGTTTGCTTCCAAATTCCCTCCACAATCTTCTATTATTGAGAGCTTGGTTACTACTCTACACCTATTCTCAATATTAATCGCTCCTGGCCGATGCGAGGGACTTATGCAGCTAGATTGGCATCTTCAATGATTGTGAGTTTCTACGGAACACAATCCCGGGTAGTCGCTTGTGCGGGGTACAACGAAGACGAAAAGTGACATTTGGTCGTTGGAGCTCCAGAACAGCCTTGTAAGGTGCTACAGGTACCCGTGTCAAAACATCTCGATAACCTGAGCGCTTGGCTATCGTCTACTAGCAAACTCTCGAATTCCTGTTATCACAACAAACGTTGCAAGCAACAATGCCGAGCAGGACATGGGAAGGCCAAATCCGGGGCCCAGACTGGGGTCGATGGTGGGGCGGCGTGGGTCTGGCCTGTGGAAAGGGTCTCTCTGACTCTCTCTGTCTGTATCGGTTAATTGTAGTTCTTTCTAGTCGAACTCCTTCCTCATGTCCACCTCGATGCTCCCTTATCACTTTACTTTTCCTCGTTGTCTGTTGGCTTGGAACCTGTTACTATTGGCCAGCATCGTCTTTTATTTGCCAATTGACCTCGAGAAGCGAAACCTACCACTATACCGCAATGGTACGATTACACAAGCCTCCAAGGTATGTTCTGGCCAGTATACTGTGCTCATGCGGGGGACTGCTGTTTGGGTAAGGATTCATTCTCTCTCGGCGAGCTACCTTGTACAACCTTGACAGAAGTTCTATAGGATGGATACTGGAATCATTGGACCCGTCACGGTTATGGACAGCTTTGTTTCACGATTTGGCAGCCAATCATCAACCATTCACGGCTTGATCGTCTCATCCATCCTGATTCCAGCTGCATTTTCTTCCTTCTTTGCGGGGTATCTGGCGGACAAAATGGGTAGGCCTAAGAGTATCAGCATCGGTGCTCTTATCTTTGCAATTGGGGCAGCTTTGGAAGCGGCTGCTGTGCATATTGGGATGTTTGTTGTGGGACGTTGCATCGAGGGCATAGGTGAGGGCTTATATCTAGGCACCCTCGTCGTGTATGTGGCTACCCCATGAATTATGGTACTTTTGTTTTCTTTGTTTCTGATTGACGACAGCTACATCTGCGAGATCTCTCCGCCAAGGGTTAGAAGAGCGTTGACAACCGGGCCCCCGTTGCTAATTACTCTGGGGTTGACGATCGGTTTCTTTACATGCTACGGTACTTCTCGCATGAAGTCTTCCTTTTCATGGCGCACGCCTTTCATCATCTTGGCTTGTCTGGCTGCTACATTCTCCATGGCTTCACTCCTGTGGTTAACTCCATCACCGAGATGGTTGACCCTCCATGGCCGGAGATCGGAGGCTACTGCAGTTTGGGACTACCTTGATGTCAGCCAGGCGGAACGTGAAAAGATTGAGTTTGAACAGACTCAGAGCGTTAATACTGAGGCTGTCGCGAGTGCTTCGAGCGACATACATGCCCCATCCGTATACCAACGCCAGGACAGATCAATGAAGCACAAGTTTTTCGATCTGTTTTCAAAAGATGTACGGACACGCACCGCACCGGCTGTGTTTCTAATGGGCATGCAGCAGCTCAGTGGGATTGATGGTGTGCTCTATGTGGGTTTTCAGTTATTCCTATTGTCGTCTCCTGCTGACATTGGCTTTAAGTATGCCCCACTGCTCTTCGAGCAAGCAGGACTAGCTTATTCAGATGCCAGCTTCTTTGCCTCGGGTGTTTCTGCAATAGTCATCTTCGCCGTAACCATTCCGGCGCTCATATGGGCGGACAGGTGGGGCCGACGACACAGCACTATTTATGGTGGCATCGGCCTCGCCGTCACAATGTTCTTGATAGGGGGTACGCAGGGAATGCCGTATACAACTCAACTGGTGCAGGTCGGTGGGTGGTCATCGTCTGCATCTATATTTTTGCAGTCATATACTCTCTCAGCTGGGCAGTTGGCATCAAGATCTACGCAGCAGAGATACAACCACAAAGGACCCGCGCATCAGCCACTAGCCTGGCACATGGCAGCAATTGGACCGCTAATTTTCTGGTCGCACTAACGACTCCCATATTACTGTCAAAAAGCAGCAGCTTCGGTGCATACTTTCTCTTTGGTGGATGTACTCTGATCACGGCGTGCATTTGCGCCCTCTTCATGCCCGAAACAAAAGGACGATCCTTGGACGAAATCGAGGAGGCCTTCAAGTCCAAATCTCTATCAAGAACACTACTAAAGGCGTTGCGACCTATTACTCGGACAGCCTAGGAATACGTGACCAGAATGGGGAAGAAGCTGTATATGTTCACATGTCATGCACATGCACTAGTTAGCTGCACATGCCAGGAATGAAACCGTGCAGCCTGCCATAGCCGATAAGATAAGAAATGCATACCTGCTAGATCCAGTTAGCCTGTGAATTTGTAAGCTAAACAGTAGTCTAACCGTTTTAGGATAGCTGCTCATTACCTAAGCAATTATTCTGCCGAATTGGAATTTAGCCCGGATATTTCCCCTCGCTGATAAAGAAGAAATTGTGTCCGTCACCCCAGAATGCCGTGATATCCCCTTACACCTTGACACTTGGCACACGGCAGTATTCAGTTCCTCTTGGGGGAGATCATCACAGCTTGAATAGCGATGCCGCCCCGCAGAAGAGCGCCGATCTCTGCGGCGAACCTGCGATCTGCGCAACCTTCAGAGGCAAGTACCAAGTATTTTACGATCTCCGGTAGAGAAGGGACCCAGGCTAACGGCTCTTGATGATATAGGGTGCAGCATCTGCAAAGCCAGGCGCCGCGGATACTACGAAACGTAGACGTCCCTCTCAGACCGCACAACCTCCCCGAGCCGAACAGCCGCCACCACCCAGTGCGGAGGAACAGCAGCAGAAGTCGACCGAGGAGCACGAGCATTCGCATTCTACATACCGCCACCGCGACCCATTTGACGCGCTTCTGGAACCTTTCTACTACAACAAGTCCCTCACGGATCCGATTAACACTGCGAAAGACAAATGGAACCTTCTGCCGGCTTTCCTCAAGGTCAAGGGATTGGTGAAGCAGCACATTGACTCATACAACTACCTCGTTGAGGTTCAGTTGAAGAAAATTGTCGAGTCTAGCTCTACAATTCGAAGCGATGTCGACCATACCTTCTACATCAAGTTCACCAACATTTATCTTGGGTTCCCGCGCCGTGCCGACGAGCCGCAGGATGCGCGGGCCGACTTCACCTACTCGACCGTGTCCCCGCAAGAATGTCGCCTACGTGATACGACGTACGCGGCTCCCATTCAGGTCGATTTCGAGTACGTCCGTGGTCGTCAAAGGGTCATGAGGAAGGGCGTTGCCATTGGTAGAATGCCGGTTATGCTTCGGAGTTCCAAGTGTGTATTGGCGAATAAGACACCGGCGGAGATGACGGTGCTGAACGAGTGTCCCTTGGATCCTGGTGGTTATTTCATCGTGAACGGAACCGAGAAGGTTATTCTTGTCCAGGAACAGTTGAGCAAGAACAGAATTATCGTTGAAACCGACCCCAAGAAGGAGATTGTTCAGGCGTCGGTTACAAGGTGAGAGGTCTTCGCGATTGACTGTTGAGGGTTGCCATTCTAATATTTGTTTGCAGTTCTTCCAACGAGCGAAAGTCGAAGAGTTACATTGTCCTCAAGAAGGACAAGCTCTACGTGAAGCACAACGTACTCAGCGAGGATATTCCCATCGTCATTCTTTTGAAGGCGATGGGCATCCACACGGATAAGGAGATGCTTCTGCTGGTCGCGGGTGTCGACAAGGTTTATCAGGAAGACTTTGCTATCAACTTCGAGGAGGCGATCAAGTTGGGTATCTACACGCAACAACAGGCTCTGGATTGGATAGGTGCACGGATTAAGATCAACCGCAAGCAGTCGCCTTCTTATCGCCGTACCCACGTTCAGGAAGCCGTCGAGGCCATTGCCTCTGTCATCATCTCCCACATTGAAGTGAAGAACATGAACTTCCGGCCCAAGGCTGTCTATGTTGCGCACATGGCGCGTCGTGTGCTTATGGCCAAGAACGATGCCAGCCTGGTTGATGACCGTGATTATCTCGGAAACAAGCGTCTGGAATTGGCTGGTCAGCTGCTGGCTTTGCTCTTTGAAGATTTGTTCAAGAAGTTCTGCTTCGACATCAAGATGAACATTGACAAGGTCTTGAACAAGCGCAACCGTGCGGAAGCCTTCGATGCTTACAGTGTCATCACTATGCATAGCAACCACATCACCCAGGGTATGAACCGTGCTATCTCGACGGGTAACTGGAGCTTGAAACGTTTCCGCATGGAACGTGCTGGTGTGACCCACGTGCTCAGTCGACTGAGTTATATTGCGGCTCTGGGTATGATGACGCGTATTAGCAGTCAGTTCGAAAAGACGAGAAAGGTCTCGGGTCCTCGTGCATTGCAGCCTTCGCAGTTTGGTATGCTCTGTCCAGCCGATACTCCAGAAGGTGAGGCCTGTGGTCTCGTCAAGAACTTGGCACTCATGACGCACATTACAACCAATGACGAAGAGGGCCCGGTCAGAAACTTGATTTTCATGCTCGGTGCCGAAGATATTCAGACTGTGGGTGGTAAGGAGCTATACGGACCTGGCTGCTACACGATTTCCATCAACGGAACACCCACCGCACTCACACGTCGTCCGAAATACTTCCTTGACGCGTTCCGCAGACTGCGTCGAATGGGTCGCATTTCTGAGTTCGTCAGTATCTACATCAACCACCACCAGAGGGCCGTCCATGTCGCGACCGATGATGGACGTATCTGTAGACCGCTTATCGTCGTCGAAAACGGCAAGTCTCGTGTTAATGCCCAGCACCTCGAGAAGCTGCGTAATGGCACAATGCAGTTCGACGACTTCCTTGCTCAAGGTCTGGTCGAGTATCTTGATGTCAACGAAGAGAACGACTCTTTGATTTCCATCTACGAGAAAGATATCACAGAAACCACCACCCATCTGGAAATCGAGCCCTTTACGGTCCTCGGTGCAGTCGCCGGTCTTATTCCCTATCCTCACCACAACCAGTCCCCCCGTAACACCTACCAATGTGCTATGGGTAAACAAGCTATTGGCGCGATCGCCTCCAACCAATTTCTGCGTATTGACTCGATTCTGTACCTCATGGTCTACCCGCAAAAGCCCATGGTCAAGTCTCGCACCATCGAGCTGACCAAATACGATCAGCTTCCTGCCGGACAGAACGCCATCGTCGCCGTCATGAGTTACTCTGGTTACGATATTGAGGATGCCCTGGTCCTGAACAAGGGTTCAGTCGACCGCGGCTTCGGACGCTGCCAGGTGTTCCGGAAATACGTCACCAACCTGAAGAGTTACTCCAACGGCACCAAGGACCGGCTGAGCGGACCTACCTACGAGAACGACGCTCCAATCCGCAAGCACGCTCTCCTCGAGAGTGACGGTCTCGCCGCAGTCGGCGAGCAAGTCAACGCCGGCGAAGTCTACATCAACAAGTCCACTCCCGACCAGTCCATGTCATCAGGCTTCCCCAACTCCGACGCCGGCCGACCCGTCTCATACATGCCAACCCCTATGACCTACAAGCTCCCAGACCCCGCCTACATCGACAAAGTGATGGTCTCGGTCACCGAGAACGAGAACCAGCTCGTCAAAGTCCTCACCCGCCAGACCCGCCGCCCGGAAGTCGGCGATAAGTTCTCCTCGCGTCACGGACAGAAGGGTGTGGTAGGTATCATCGCCGACCAAGCTGACATGCCCTTCACCGACACCGGCATCAACCCTGACATCATCATGAACCCCCACGGTTTCCCCTCTCGAATGACAGTCGGCAAGATGCTGGAACTCGTCGCCGGCAAAGCCGGCGTTCTAGCCGGCCAACACGGCTACGGTACCTGCTTCGGCGGCAGTCCCGTCCAGGAAATGTCCCAGATCCTAATCGACAACGGCTTCAGCTACGGTGGCAAGGACTACCTCACCTCGGGTATCACGGGCGAAGCCCTACCCTTCTACGTCTTCACGGGTCCCATCTACTACCAGAAACTGAAGCACATGGTCCAAGACAAGATGCACTCGCGTGCTCGTGGTCCCCGCGCTATTCTTACCCGTCAGCCTACGGAAGGTCGTTCCCGTGACGGTGGTCTGCGTCTGGGTGAGATGGAACGTGATTGTTTGATTGCGTATGGTACTAGTCAGCTTCTACTGGAACGGTTGATGATCTCGTCTGATCGTCATGAGATCGATGTCTGCGAGCAGTGCGGATTCATGGGATACTTGAACTGGTGTCAGCGGTGCAAGTCGTCCCGCAGCGTGGTCAAGATGGCTATCCCGTATGCAGCGAAGCTGCTCATTCAGGAGCTGATGAGTATGAATGTCACCGCGAGGTTGAAGCTTGATGACGAGTTCCCGGAGATGAAGGGGCGGTAGTCTGTCCTCCTTATACGGTCTCGCTGTATCCACAATGATGATAGGATGGGATATATGGATCAAGAAGAAATGAACAAATACGCAAGAAATACAACAGCTGATGAGTGGAAAAAGAAAAAAGTTGGGCGTTTCATTTTGGTTCATCGGAGTGTACATAAAAGCCGGTTCTGGATGTGTCTTTTTCTTTTTCTTGTTGTTGCATGCATAGCGCTCGGCGATCGTCGACTTATTTCTAAATCTTATTGCAAATATGCAGTAGTAAACATCCTTTCCCTTCATCCATAGTAATAACCACACAATCATCTTCTATTATGATCTCCCCTCCACAACCTCCCCAACAACCTTCCAATACCTCCCCCCATCCACCCTCATATGCTCAACATGCCCACTACCCCTCCCCCACTTCTCCTTCCTCACCGCACCACCACCACCACCAAATACCCCCTCCGCCTCCACAGCATGCTCCTCCACATCCCTCCAATCCACTAACCCATCCCCCTCGGAATAAACATAACACCGTCGCACACTTTCCCCCACAACACTCCTATCATTCAGCATTCGTCTCCCCTTACTCACCTCATCTTCACTACCAACCACCCACCTCATCCCAAACATCAACAGCAACATACATCCCAGCAGAACCTTCCCCACCCACTTCAGAAGAACATTCTTAGGAAGAATGAACGAGAAGGCGCGGAACGCACCGATCAATGAGGGCTTCCCCGGTGCGCTGTCAATGAGCAGGGAGGTGAGGGGGAGGGTGTGGCCTGTGGTGGACTTGTAGGTCGAGAGGAGGGTTGTGGTTGTGTGGACGCCGCCGTTGGAGAAGAGGTGAATGTGGATTCTCTCATTCTCTTTGGGGGTGCCGGGTGGGTGGTGGAGAAGGATGTAGTCGAGAGCGGGTTGAGCACTATTAGTCCTCTTGTTGTCGTTTGTAGTGCTGGTGAAGGTGAAGAGTGAAGGGAGGCGCATAAAGTCACCCGTGCTGCTTTGGAGAGTGAGGATGCGGGCGCTGGGGTAGAGGGTGCGGTACTGGGTGGTGTATTTTGTGAGGGCGCGCTGGGGGGCGTTCATCCAGTAGGCGAGGATTATTGTTTGCGGTGCGTTGTTGCTGGTGGTGGTTTCGGGGGTGAGAGGATCGTAGGCGTGGACTGTTGGTGAGAGTGTTATGGGTTTGGGGAGGGAGGTCATGTCCATGGTGGGTGGAGATGACATGATTGATTGATTGAATGATTGATTGAAGACAATGTGTGTGAGGGTATGGAGTAAAATGGGTGTGGATTGATGGTGGTGGTGTGAGGTGAGGTGAGAGGTATTTATGTGGAATTGTCTATCTCTAGATTTTGGCAGTAAATAAGGGAATGGAATTTGCTTATCACTTCAACAATCTACCTGGTTCCTGGATGATTTCCGGGGAATCTGCCGATCTTCGGCCGGGGGAGAGCTGAGTCGAGCATCGCGGTTAATTCTACTTCTAGTGCCTTTTTAGTCACTTTAGTGTTACTTTGTAGGTCCGTCCCCCGTTGCCAAGAAACGGCCAGTTGATGGCTTAGCGATAGATAGATACATCCTACCAAGTGGTGTTTGGCATTGCAAGTGGATCAAAGCCTGATGTGATCGAAATAGCCTCGTTAACGCCTGTCCCCGCTATGCTCTAAATTCCCGTCCTACGCTTTCGCGCTGCCTTCTATAGCCCATCCAATGAGTCAAATATAGCGTGCCTGGGAAGCCAGCGGTCATGTCCTGGTAGAATGATCAGGGGCTGCTTCCCCTATACCGTGCAAGGGAGACCCATAATATCATAGCCGATCGGCGTTCATTAATCCAGCCTTGTCTGGCGTTATCTTAAGTAGGGGTTGCCGAGCCACTTGCGTCTTTCTTCTTTCCTCGTAATGTTTGACCAGATCCCTGGAAGCGAGGCTTGTCCTCGAGTACCTGTCCGCTCTCGTCGCGCTTCTTCACTGGCTTGATTGCATATCCAAAGAATAGCTGGTTGTGGCCTAACCGCAGAGGTTGCGGGCCGTTGGTCTTCCTGACAGGAGGGGGATGCTGCGGGTTCGTTGTTCCTGGGGTAGGAGTAGACGGTTTTGGTGTGGATGTTTTGCTTCCCTTCTTGGCATTCAGACGCTGTCCTCCACTAAGGAAGTTCGATGAGACCGCTCGGGCACCCGCCGCAGCATCAGTCGACTCCGGGGCAATAGCAGCGTAGTTGATCGCCTGTGCCATGGTTCCATGGGGATGAAGCAGCCCACCAGAGGGCAGCTTGTTGCTTACTCCACTACGAGGAGTACTGGTGCCGCTGGGCCGTTGAGGCTCCTCATAGCCCACAGGAGGCGCAAAGTCCACTTCTAGATCTGTCTCGAGCACGGAAATGGCATTCGTGTCGGTGGATGGCTTGGTTTCCAAGACCGCCATCTCATAAACCTGGTCGTTGTATGCAAATGTGAAGACATCTCCCTTGGTCAGACAGGAGAAGTTACGGAAAGCATTCTCCAGCACGGCCTTCGGGTCACTTATATCGAGGAATGAGGTAGATTGAGCTTGCAGCTTGATGAATTGGCCGGGTGGGAGATCGGTCGACTTGACCTGTACGAGATCACCGGGTTCCAGAAGGAGAGTTTGCATGAGCTGCGGGAGATCAACTAGTCAGTATCCTGCAGGGTACCTATCATGAGAAGCACATTACCCAGAAAGGTAGATAGATCTTCCCCTCTTCCGCAATGAACTCTAGTACACCAGCGTGCGTCAACCTTTCCCGTGCACCGTTGTGAAGCTCGAACAGCATCGGATACGTAATATGAAGGCGAGTAAGCTTGTCAAGAGCGCTGGGCGGCATGATGACCTTGCCGCCGTGGTTCACGTTCTCTCTCTCCGGGCCGGGCATCATGGCGACAGGATAGCAGCGGTAGTATTCATCGAAACGACGAGCAGCTCCATGGCGGAACATGGAACCACCCATGACTCCGTTCATGGGATCGTCATCCCAGTATCCAGAACGAAACTGTCATCATCCGGGTATCAGCATGTATACACCTCAGTACATAACGGCGCCTAAGCGGGGAACTCACCATGATTCGAGCTGGACTAGTACCCTATAGGTCTTAAGACGATGATCAACTGAAATCGTAGGTTTTCGCTACAGTCTGAGCTGTAGTCAGTAGCAAATAGGATGCAATCCGCTGCGGTGGCAAGAAAGCAGGGAAGAAGCTAGCAGGGAGAGCTGTTCGGGTGAAGGTCAGGAACGAACGGAGCGATCAGATCGCAGTGACGCAAACGCCGCCGCGATGATTTTCCGACCCGACCCCAGACAGCTCGGTTTGCTCCGCGCAACCCCTCTGCTGATATTCTTCGTTTGAGTTCTCCAGAAGCAAAATTACTACGATTTTCAATGCATATGCCCCGGAAGGATCCGTAGAATCCAACAAACACCTTGGTTTTACAGCGCAGCTCCATGTCCGCCTCTCAGCCACGCCCCAAGCGAGCGGGTGAAGACTTCACCCGCACCCACCACCACGAAGATGACGATGTGAACGGTGCCTCCAGCAAGAAACCCCGCTTTGACTTACGAAATCCCTCCGCTCTTGCCCCTGATGCGCTGGAAGACGATGCAGTTCTGGATGCAGACGAAATAGGACGCCGTGGGCAACAAGTTCGCCGCAAAGCTGTCAACCTTGATGGTTACGACTCGGACAGTGAAAATGAAGGATTTTCGGCGCGCATCGAGGCCAAGTCGAAAGCAAGCAAAGAAAAGCACGATGCGGAAGATGACGATATGTTTGCCGAGCTGCAGGAGGATTTTGGTGCAGAAGAGGTCGACGCCGATGAGGCCTTGCGCAAGAACAAGAAAACGGTGCGATTCCTACGAGACGATGAAATCGAGGGTCAAGTCGCTTCATCCAAAAGCGGAGGAACTGTACATGCAGATTTCAGCAAAGGCGCCGACGAGGTTGACAATGATGAAGACGAGAGCGAAAGCGAGGTTGGAGATGAGGAGCGCGCAAAACTCGATGAGGAAATGGATGAAGAGCTTGGCGCTGGCGCAAAGAAAAAGCATGCGCCAGTACTGGACGCGTTCAACATGCGCACCGAACAAGAGGAGGGCAGATTCGACGACCAAGGCAACTACATCAGGAAAGCAGCAGACCCGGATGCGGTCTATGACAGCTGGCTAGAAGGCGTGTCAAAGAAGGATATCCGTCGCGCCAAAGAGGCCGCAGAGAAGCGAGAGGAGGAGAGAAAAGAAAAGGATAGGCAAGATGACAGTGTATTGACATCAGACGCCCTGAAGACCATTATCTCAAACCTCCATCGAGGCGAGACGATCTTGGAGGCGCTGGCAAGGATTGGCAAGGGAGCTCCAAAGAAAGCGAAATGGCAGACGAATCGCAACAAAAACCGGAAGAAGCAAGAATCTGCGAACGAGGATACCGAAATGGCCGAAGAGGATCCCAAGGAAACGGCTAGAAAGCAAGCGATTGATGCCATCACAGGCGCAGCCGATATTCTTATGACAAGAGGGCAGGCGGATATTTACGACACTGAACGCGAGATGCTCACTAGGCAATACCGCCGCGAAACCGGAGAGGACTGGGTCGATCCGTCGCCCGAGGTCTCAGGGCCCAGTGAAGAAGCTCCTGCAATGTGGGAGTTTCGTTGGGCGGACGCTCGTGACGGAGGCGTCACACATGGTCCATATGATAGTGCGACGATGGAGTCGTGGAAGAATGCGGGCTACTTCGGCGAAGGTGTCGAGTTCCGAAGGACGACAGACACGGGTCCGTGGCAGAGAGAAGCAACATTTGCATAAGCACCGTACAAATTACGTCTACTGGCATCTACAAATACCATCTGCTGAGAAACATTAATTGCATCATTATCATTCGAGCCTAGGCTCTTTCTTCAAAGTTGAGACCCAATATCGCAGTACCCACAACAGATGTGTTTTGAAAAAGCGCCAGCATTATCATACACCAAGCAATTCATCTGGTAAACGAAAACCGAACAATATAAAAAGACGGGAAATGGTCCTCCGTAAGCCTTGCGATCCATGCCTCAGTGCCGTCTAATCATGGCAGAGGCTTCCCCACGCACCAAGAATCATTGAAAAGTTCTACGGCAGATAAGACTATGAAAGCTCCATCGCATCTCCGTTTGTAGGAGCAATGAAGCTAACGGCACCTTGATCGCCGATGAAACGCTGTTCGTATGTGCTGACGAATTTGACGCTCCGTGCAGGGTCGTAGAACAGCCGGTAACTGCGCTGGACGTCATCAATGCTGACCTCCTTCGCCTTACGCTTTTGGCTGAGCAAATGGGAGGTGGTGATGATGTTGCTGGCGTAGCGTAGATTCGACTCCTGGCCGATCTTGGTGAGCAGCGCCAAAGCGTCCGGAGAAAGGTCGATCTCTTCCTCCTGGGCGCGAATCGCCAGAATCTGCCTAATCTCATCGGCAGAGTAGGGCTGTGTGCTGACAATCACCACGCGGTCGAGGAAATCCAGGGGAAGGCCGTGCGGAGAGCTGTATGTCGTACCACGAATCCGGGCGTGGCCCCGGTTGCTAGCCATGATGACGATGGGTGCCAGTTCCGCCTCCAGAGCGCGGTTGATGTAAGAGAAGCATTCAATGTCAAGCATGTGCACTTCATCAATGAAAAGGACTCCCGGGATAATCTCGGCTTTTCCTTCTTCCTTCCACTCCGCCACCTTGGTGTTAATCTGATCCCTCACTTCACTCCTGATCTCACCGGTATCTCCAGAGAAGAGAGCCAAGAATCCTTGTGACCGCGAGTTGATCACATCGATCTCATGAAGGCTGACGGTGTGCACGATTTCCTTGCGAACCTGGAGTTCACCCTCAGGGCATTGGACAAACTTTGTGTCCGCTCCCATCGCATCATAGTCGCGCGACCGAGCGTAAGAACGTCCCAGCTTGGTTATCTTGCCCGAGGATTTGTCAATGGAGATAATGTCACCGGCCATCACTCGTTCCTTGGTCATTGAGTCGATCATCTTTGTTCCCATGTCGTAGATCGTTTCCATGTCGGTCGTCTTGATGGTGAGCTTGCCTTGTTTGTTTCCCTAAAAGATAACTGATGTCAGAAGCGTTCGTCAATGAGAGCTCACCCAAGGCCTCACTTACACCAGTAACACTGCGGTCGATTTGGATTTCAACCACTTCACCCTCGATGATTTCACTCTCCTCCTTGATACGAACGCCGATCGATTTGCGGAAGGCTTGCGTGAGCGCCTCGGTCTTGGACATCTCCATGGAGAAGATCTCCGACGCTGCGAGCATTGTGAAGGGAACATCGGATCCGAGGGATTGCGCCATACCCATGGCGATGGCTGTTTTACCAGTGCTAGGAGGGCCAGCAATCAGCAACGCGCGACCGGCAATCTTGCCTTCCTTGACCATTTGCAGAATCACTGCGGCAGCCTTCCTCGCCTTCTCCTGGCCCACCAGCCCTTGAGAGGAAGCCCTAGGCTGTAGGCTGTCTGCATCGACACCGAGTCCTCGAATGTGTGAATGAGCAGCGATGAGGTTGAGACCCCGGAGCTCCTTGGTCTCCGCGACGGTAGAAATTGGCTGTCGGGGAGAGTCAGCGGTGATGAACACCACGCATTTCATCGGAATTGGAACTTACAGCAGCCATCGCGACGACTTTCAGATCGTAAATATCTTGTCAGGTCAGATGAAAAGCCACGGAGGTCAAGGGAGCAGCCAAAAATGGAGAGGTTTGGCCAGCCTGAGGGAGCGCGGAGTGGAAGAGCAGGCGAAAGAGCTGCTGGCCGGGAAGCCGCCTTGCAGGCCGCCCGGCAGAATGAGCGATTGACCGTTTTTCTGCCGGCGCGTTGTTTTCTAAGCGCAAACGGGTTTGGTTTGACTGCGCCAGGAATTCTCCGTTTGTCCCCTCATTGACAGTTGCGCATTCACCCGCTCGAGGTATATATATAATAAAAAAAAAAGGAGAATGATATGCGTCTGGACTCGGCCTGTCGACCTTCTCTATTCCCCCGTTGTCTGGCCAATGTCGCGGTTGCTATCGCGCCGCCTTCAATCCCAGTTGTTTCGTTAATGTAGGCAATTTTCTACTTGGGGCTTGAATTCAATCAATCACATTTACCTTTTCTATCTATCGTGTATTTGTCTTACCCCAAGCCCCTCATCCCACCCCTTATTAATTGTCCCCTCCTGGCTTCCTTCATCTACGTTACGCAAGGCACATGGGATGTTGTCAAATAATTGGATTTGATTGTCAGGCCAACTGAACTTTGTGACGTCGTGATATGGATACAGACGCCGGTACTACGCGTGACCCCCGTCTCGCCAGGCCTTTAGCCAGGCCGCCCCTGAACCACCCTTCCTCTGCGGATGCTTCTTCAAGCGCCTCCCCTACGCGCTTCAGGCCTGGATCCCGTTCGGTCGGAAGCTCCTCGCCCGTCGATGCCCAAAATGCCACTGCCGATCAATTTATACGTGGAATCTCCGACCTGGTCCAAGCCGCCGTGATTGCTGCCAACAGCAAGTCCGAACAGGAGAGACTAAAAAAGAAGAGAGAGGCCACTGATGCCCTGCTTAAGAAAGCTAAAGTTCACTCTAGTTTTCCGTCTACTGCAGCTTTTTTCCAGCAGTCCCAGGAGGCGGAGGACGCTGATCTGGCTCAGCTTGATAAAACCCTCCGGAAGCATGCCGCCAACTACAGAGAACTGGAAAATGCTCTAAAAGCCAAATTTAGCTCGATCATGTCACTGGAGCCCCCGAGAACCGAGGACAGGGTAAACCAACTACAAAATGAGGTCCAACATGCGAAGAACGGGTTGGGAACTGCGCAGAAGGACATCGCAAGGCTGCGTGACTATAATATCAACCTGGAAGGCAAGATGGCGGCAGTGCAGGATAAAGTCGGCTCAGTTAGGACCCTGCAAGAAAAGGTTAACTCGCTTGACAGGCTTACCTCAAGCCACGCGAAACTTGCCAAAGAGAATGCTGAGCATGTCACCAAGATAACCTCGGAGCTGGAAACTGCGTTGGCATCGAAAGAGCGAGAAAATAACTCGGCCGCTTCCAAGGCACAGATGGATGAGTTAAGAAAGCAGACCTCAGACTTGACCAAACAGATCGAAGTCTTGCAGAAGTCCCAGCGTGAATGCTCCGATTATTTGAATAAGATGAACAAGAGCCTGGACGATCATCGCCAGCAACAGGACACCCGGAGCATGGAGAATACACGGTCGTTGACATCGCTTGCTGCACGCTTAACTTCAGTTGAAGAGAAGAATATCCAGGTCCCCTCCCCTGCTGTAGAAACTGCGCCTGAGCCGTCGGTCATGTCTGAAGAACTGGCATCCCGATTACAGAAACTGGAAGGTGAACTCTCGGGACAGCACGAGCGTCGTATTAAACAAATGGAGGATCAGCTACAAGGACTGCAAACAATACAACAGATGAAAGACGACTTCCAATTCAAGGAAATCGAGGATCTCAAAAAGGTGTGGGAAAGGGGCGCCCAGGAATTCGAAGAGATCAGGAGCGATTATGTCCGAGTCAGTGAGGAGCTCAAGGGCCTGAGCCAAGCTCAGGCAGTAGCGAATCCCGCTGGGGTTCAGGCGCATATCCAAGGGATTGCGTCTGGACTTATGAACATGCAAAATATGGTTGAAACTTTGCGGGTTGCATTACATTCACTCGAGACTCGGTACAACAATCTATCCACGGATACCATTGTGAAACACATGGTGGTGGCTATGCAAGAGATGTACCCATCAACCGCGCAGCTGACAGAGCAAATATCCCTTATTAGGGCATGGTTTGAGCGGGATATTCCTCCATTGAAAGCGATAACGGAGCGCCTGCACGTGAATCAGATGAATTTGGTGGAGCAGACACAGAAAGACATGGCTTTGCGAATGGAGGAAATGAATCGCCTGAGGAGCCAGCAGACGAATCTCTCCCAATCACTCGCCCCTGTTTGGGAGCGGCTTACCGCCCAGAATCAGAACCGTTGGCTCACCGCTGATGATCTACGGCAAATGCAGAATGATCTGACATCTCTGGCGGCAAAGATTGACGAGCATACTAGCAAACTCAGCGGATACGTGGAGTCGCGGGAGGCAAAGGACCAACTACTCCACGACGACCTGACAACAGGCAGAAATAACTTGCATATGCAGCTCCACGCCATTGCCGAAAAGCAAACGGAACTCGAGAAAATTTGTTCTAAATTCCAGAAGGTCAATGACCTACCGGATCAAGTCCAAGCCCTAGCCGTACAGCAGGAAACCCTGGCCAAAAGACTTTCTGAACATCAGGAAGAGGGCTTGCAAGATCAAGTCAGGGCTCTGGCAGATGAACAGAAAAAGCTACTCGAGAGATTTTCTGATTCTCAACAAGATAATATTAGGAGTCAAATCAAGTCTCTGATTGACGAACAGAAAACCTTGGCTGGGAGACTCGTCAAAACCCAGGAGGAACACGATCAGCTCAAAGCTCTTGTAGAGGCTCAAGAAGACCTGGCAAAGAAACTTTGCGAGTTCCAATCAAGCAATGAAGACGACTTGAATATGTTGAAAGCCTGTCCAGATGAGCTCAAAGCAGTGCTTGACCGTGTTTGCCAACTCGAGACCTCCACACTTGAAAAGTACCAGAATGTTGTGGAAGAACATAGGCTTCTCGAAGGCTCCACGTCGAAGAACCTTACAGGACTAACTGAAAGGGTCGATGGCTTAGTGAAGCTAGTCGAGAGCAGCCAGCAACCACCGCGACTAGAAGAGCCTCAGCAAGATGATAATATCAGTGCAATGAAAGATGAGCCTGAGGGGAATGATCAGGATGCTGAAGTCGCTAGGTTCATGAGTATAGCTGAATCCACTCCAGCGCGTGCTTTACAAGAGCGGAAGAGGAAACGGCCTGTTACGTTTAATGCATCCGACGAAGAGCGTTCCAGTCTAAGTAGACCCGAATCACCAACTTCCAATGCTGCGGGTTCCGCAGCGGGAGGTGACACCGCGCCATCAACAGACAGGAAAAGCCGCAAAAAGAAACAGAAGAAGCGGAAGTTACAGAGGAATAAAGGTGCGCAGGCAGCAGACAAGATAATAACAATTGACTGAAAGGGGGTTGTAGGTGTATGACTGAGGCTGAGAGTTACCCCCTGGATGGTGTTCTTGAAGCAGTACACATTACGAGATTACGAATGTTATGAATCAGTCGTTAGTCTGAGGAAAAGGAAGAAAAGTTGGTTTCAATTCTGCTGGATATCCCCCTGTCAATAATTTCTTTTCTTATTTATTTCCCCTCACTCTCTCTGTGGTCCTGGGCGACGTAATCCCAGGCCTCTCTTACTTTCTTTTGTTCAATGCTTTTTTCTTTCTTTAGGGTCAAGGAGGTAGGGGTTGAAAGGGACCTGCACATAACAAGAATGTACAAGTGGAGTCTGAGTCAGTTCTGTCCTGTCTTGTCTGTCTATACATCCATCCATCAAACCAAGCATGCCTGTAGCTATCAAATCAGGGAGCCTCCTGGAGGAACTTTAGAACAGCTGCAAGAAGCAAAAGCATACGCGTCAGCAAACCATCCTACTCAATCCAAATAGATCAGAACTGCTCACCTTGCCTAAATCCCTCAGGGTTCTCTGAAATCAACCAATGCCCGGCCTCCACATCCGCTATGCGAGCATTGGGGAAGAACTTCTTAATCGTTGGCACAGACTCATCGCTCACATATCTGCTCTTGGTGCCCCTCACAAACAGCGTAGGGCCATCATACGAGACAGATCCCGGCTCCCGGTATGGGAAATCAGCCATACCGGGAATGGCTTCGCCGAGGACGGCGAGCGGGACACGGAACTTCATGGTTTGGTCTTCAGTCGAGCGGACCAGGTTGGTGAGGAGGAACTGGCGGATGGGGAGGGACTGTCACATATTAGCTTAGTCGATCGATATGTACAGATCGAGCTCGGTTTGCAATTCACAACTCGTACTCACCTCCTCATATCCCTTCAAGATCTCATCAGCCTCAGACTGCTTCGTCACATTCGCAGCCTCAACATGCTGCATGCCACGGACGTAGAGACCGAAATCGCTCTTCAGGGGAGCATTCACGGGGGCGTTGTCAACCGGTACAAGGGCCGAGACAAGCTTGGGTGAATCAAGGGCAACTGTCATGGCGGTTTTAGCGCCCCTAATTATTTTCCGTTAGTTTAGCCGCCTTAATCATGTTTTGTCTTTACTGTTGGTTCTGAAGGTATTGTGTGTAGAGGGAAGAATCAGAGACATGTACATAGTAGTAGGATATGACGTACATCGAGTGGCCGATCAGAACCGCCTTGTCTAGCTTCAGCTGCTGGAGGAACTTGATCACGTCTTCGGCCATGACGGAGTAGTTGTGTTCTTGGGCGTGGAAGGATTGGCCATGGTTGCGGAGGTCCTGGAGAACAAACACGATTTGAATCACTACTTTGATTCCAAATTCTTTTTCTTCATCACTAGTTACACACCACTGTGAAGATCTCACGTTTCAGATCACGTGCCAATGCTCTGCATGATGGTTAGTCGCTTTCCAATTCACTGGGTGTTTGTCTTCTGAGGGCAATTGAATGGAAAAGGGATGCATACTTGCTAATACCCCGGTTATTCTGCTTCGAGCCAAACAGCCCATGAAGGAAGATGATAGGACTCCGATCAACCAGATCGCCTTTCTCGGGGCCAAACACCTGGTAGGACAGGTCTGTTCGGAGGCCTCGTGATGTGGAGAATAAGCGGGCGCTTTGGGCAGCGCTTCGGAAGGTTGTACGGATTGGTTGGAGCATGATTGTGAGTGGCGATTATGATAGTGATGACGATGCTATCTGAGAATGCGATTGATCTGAGGGTTTACCTTGAGTTTGGTGCATTTAAGCATTGAAGATCAGCAGCTGCCTTGGGTATATGACTAAGCAGCTGGCAAGTGGTTTTGCCGTTGTCCCGTCGGCTTAATGGGATTGTCATGCTTGGAGCAATATCCGGGTGTCTTGGCTTGACAGGGGTATATATGTCGGAGGTGAATTGTCGTTTGCTTTGGTCTGAAAGGTAGCCTTTGGTTTGTGCTGCGTTGTACTGCTGGCCTTGCATTGATGGTGGGCTATTGTGGTAATGGTTTGTAGGGGCTTGAGTAATTGGATCTTATCTGATCTCGGTTCAAAATATATATCGATTAATTGCATCATCGTTTCTAGTACTACTGATAGTACTACCAATCCACCCGGTTCATGTTGGACCTTCCACCTCGGATATTGATCGGAATCTCTCGCTGTAACAGCTTACTATCTACTTACGCTTAGGCCTCTGAATGATCGTACGACTCGAAAACAGCCGGGAAACTAAATCCGGGTGAATTAATTACTATCTGCAAACTGAGATGAACATCGCCGCCAACATGGTTATTCAGTCAGAACAATATTTATTGGAAGTACATTTTTCTACACCGCAAGGGCCAGCTTGGCTGTTACTCCCACGTCGCACCAATCTAGCTCAAGTCCACTGATTTTTATGAGGGAGCTCGGTTGTTCTACAAATATACTTGCCATGTCAGAATACACACTCTACTGTAAATCTCCTTTTATACATTCAACAATCAAAATCGTAAATCGTCTATTCTGGGAGCTTCATTGAAGTAAATGTATATACAGGACATAGATATTGTCGTCATATCCACCGTGATATCCCCCGCTTATTCCTAAAGTTGGTACACTGACACCTCATATTTAGGCGTCCAGGAGAGGAGGGACCTTCTCGCAAAGGTATTCAACAATGGCGTCGGGGCCGCGCTCGACCTGGAGACCCTCGGGGATAGCGTGCAGCTTGATGTCGGGCTTGATCGAACGGGCAATGGAGTGGATCTCGTTGGCCTGCTCGGCGGACCACATGGAGGCGCTGAACTGCGGAGGGAGTTAGACATATGCCATCATAACAGTAGTCGCTTTACCCCGCATTGTAGAGAAAGCTCAAGATGAAGAGAGAACTTACCAGGACATCGGGCATGTGCTGCTTGACCTTGGACTCGACTTCCTCGATCTCTGTTCGCAAATTCGGTCAGAACCGCTAATCACGAAGCCTGCAAGGAGTTTCAAAGTCACAAGTACTTACTCTCGCAGTTGTCAATGTGAATGATGGTGTAACGGTCCGAAAGGGCCTCAGCAACCCGTCCGATGAGGCGCTTGGCTCTCTCGGGAGCGGTGTTGACAGTGACGAGCTTGAAAGGTCCCTTGGGGGCAGACATTGTGGCAGATTGTGTGAAGAGTAGTTTTCTGAACGACTTGGAGACAGACTCGATAACTGCGACACTGTTCGCTTTTAAACGAAGAGCATGCGATTTCGCAGTTCAACCGGCACGACAAGCCGCGGGCGACATCCCCACGTTGTCGTGGGGAAGTGGGCTGTTTAGCGTATTCGCCGCCGGCTTTCGCCCGAGGCTCGGAGATCCAGAGCGTTGAAGTCAAGTCATGGAGGGGGAGCGAGTGTTTGGTTCCTGCAAAAGAAGTCGAATGCGGACTGGCTGCTGAGAAATGGATTGGTTCCCACCGGCAAAGGCAGTGAGTTTGATTGCCCCTCCCACTTTGCTTTCCCCCCCACCCCGCGCGCACTGAGCTTCCCGGCCGGCCACCAGAACTGCACCCCGCGACGATATCGGGGTAGAAATATCCCGTGGACTGTACTTCAAAAGAGAGTTCGCCTCAATTGATTCCTGCTCGCTGTCTTGCATCTTTGTTGTTCATCAATTCCTTCTTCCCCCTCACAATAACTCATCATGTCTAAGGTCGCATCTACCTTCTCGCGTATGTGGACACGATCTTGCTACTGCAGCTGTGTTGCTAACGCAAATCAGGCCTCGTGCGCTTCGTTCCCAAGTCGAACCCTGCTAAGGTTCTGATCGGTGAGCCCGTCGATGCCGCAGTGGATGTTGGATTGGCCGTCTACCAGGGCAAGGATGTCGCTGTGCGCCCCTTCTCCGGTAGCTCCGTCCTCAACCCCGGCCAGAAGACCGACACGACCGAGACCATTGAGCGCGTGCTTTCGCCTTTGGCACAGAGCGAAGTCGGATCCATCCGATGCATTGGACTGAACGTAAGTTCTCATTCATCGCAGCATAGTCGCCTTTCGGTATCGAGCAAGAAACTAAGCGATTGCGCAGTATGTCTCCCACGCTGCTGAGATGAAGCTGTCCATCCCCGATGTTCCTACTCTTTTCATGAAGCCCTCGACTGCTCTGTCCGACCCCTGGCCCGCCCCGACCGTTCTGCCCAAGCTCACCCAGATCGACAACACGGGTGACTACGAGTCGGAGATGGTCATTGTGATCGGTCGCGATGCGAAGGATGTCAGCGAGGCTGAGGCCCTGGACTACGTGCTCGGATACACCGCGGCCAACGATATCTCTAGCCGCACCTACCAGATGAACCAGAGCCAATGGTGCTTCTCCAAGGGCTTCGACACCTCCTGCCCAATCGGTATAGCTAGCCCACCTTCAATACTAAGGTGATATTGCATTTTGTGCTGATGGACGAACTCTCGCAGGTCCCGTCCTCGTTTCCGCCGCTCAGGTCCCCGATGCCAGCAAGTTCCACATTCGTGGATCGAAGAACGGAAAGGTCCTTCAGGACTGCCCCTTGACGTATGTCTCTTCTTATACTGCCCATGATGCGCACCAGGATAAAAGCTGACCAGCAATTCCGAACAGTGATCTGATCTTCAACGTGCCCCAGCTCGTCAGCTTCCTGTCCCAGGGCACCACCCTGCCTGCGGGTACTATCATCCTCACCGGTACTCCCCCCGGTGTTGGCGCCGCCAAGAACCCCAAGGAGTTCTTCAAGCATGGCGACGAGTTCGCCGTCGAGCTGCAGCCCCACGTCGGCACCCTCATCACGAAGATTGAAAACCAGGCATAATTATGATAATGGTACAATGAGACGGGTGGGGATTTACGGATTATGATGAGCCATATTACAAGAATAGCATAGAGATGTATATACTGTACGGATACCAATGAACAGGTTCATTGTTCCAATACATACATGCGTGAATATAGTTAAGCCAGGTGACATGTCCTATGATGCAAGGAGTTATCACATTGTCGCAATCATCCTCCGAGAATGACAACAAACCCAACAAGACGTAGGTGGGAGGCAAACCACCCACATCCACACCCCACGCTGACTAAGGTCCCCACAATCAGCCACTTCTCAAGCTTTTGCCCAGCACTGCCCATGAATTCTAGTCTAGCTGCTGCAGGCCGGAAGACAAGAAGCAAGGAGAAGGAGGCAGCTGACAAGGAGGAAAAGAAATAAGCCTGAATCCAACATACCAAGGTTCAAGTTAAACCTCAGGCACTAAATACTGAATCCTTAAAGACCCAGAAACCGCCATGGAAGCAACAACAAAAATCCGTATAATCGAAGTAGTCTTCTTCCCCGTGTAACTCCTTACCCATCCCTTCACTACCATCACTCCATAGATGGATAAACGAAACTCGTCCTCAAAATGCAAAGCTACTCACAGACCGAACCACGAATTGCCGACTCACATCACAAAATCAGTCAACATCTGCAGGAGAGGATAAAATCTTATCCTAGCGGAGTAAATCTATTCCGCTTCGATGCCGAGCGCTGCGTGACCAGTCCGAACCGGAGTTTAGTGGTTCAACTTTCGGGAGTAACCTTGCATGCTGGCCAGCCAGTAGTCAATACCTGAGAAGCCAAGTAATCGGGCCATGTGCTGAGTTATCCCTGACAGCTTGTAGATCAGGAAAGGGATTACATTCCTGTCTCTATATAAACAAATCTAAATAAGAACTGAAGTTAAGAAAATTGATAATAATAAAAATCCCGGTTAATCCTCCATACAATCAATCCCGTGCCAGTACTCCGTAAATTCGTAAGTAGCGAACCGGACGCCGTGAATCCTTCCCGATAGCAGCAACATCGGCGGACATCGGGCCAGCCGATCGGGCAGCCGCCCAACACTAAACTGCACACTGTAAGCGTGGTCTGACACTAGCAGCAACAACCACACCACTCCCGGGTGCTATTCATTCCCCCTTCGCTTTGCCGATAGTTAGTATGGTTTGATGATATCGGACGGGCCACTTTTCGGGGAGAATCGTTTGGCAGCTCTCGAATCGAAATTGCCGTGATCCATCAAATAGTTATTCTACTAGACTAATTAAATCTCATGCTGAGTTTTTTTTATTCAATGTGGGTTTTAGTTCCATTCCCATCCCTACTTCTTTTCGGAGTGAGTATATAACTACGGCGGACCTGGTAGGGATAAAGTCTTTAGCCCTTGGGTCTTTTGGTTTCTTTTTCTTTTTTCCCTTTCGCTTGAGGCCTTTCCTCTATACTTCTAAACTATACTGTACTTCTCATGATAATTTTTCTTTTCGTTGTATTCATTCCTTTACACTTCGATTGAGGATTCAGATTCAGATATTGTCTTCGATTGCTTCGCTGCTGTGCACGCTCATATCTTCATGCGTCTATATACATGCTCGCCATCTATATCTAACGTCTAGGAGTTCTATACTCGCCAAATTCGTCTTCGAAAGCAACACGCCAAATCGTCCAAGGAAAAAACAACATATGCAACATTGGAAATAAAGGAGGAATAACGCAAACGAGAATGAAAGGGGATTCGTGTCATCAGTTTATTCTTCAATGGGCGGACGCCAGCTCCGTCCTTGCCAGTGTACGATCATAGTCGGAATGATACTGACGGCCGCAACGAGCGCCGCACAAATGCCAGCACTCGGTGCTATACCAACACTCGAGAACATGGATGGGAACCTGAACGATATCGATTAGCGTTTGCCATATGTGACCAGCACAGAGATGCATCCAATACTTACCAGAACGGTCCGAGGAATCCCCAAATTTGGCGGACAAACGTGATGTATACTCCGACGCTACCTGCTTCCTTGTGGTAACAGTCCACTGCATACGTGACAAGAACAGTGGTTACGATTTGATTGCCACCAGCGCAGATGGCGATGCCGACCACCGGCCTTACGTTCCAGTGACCCTCCGTCGACTCTTGGGTGCAGACAAGGAATACAATCAAGCCCACAATGCACAGAACAAATCCAATGTAACTGAGCCACAGGCGGTATTCGGGTTCCGGCTTGCGGTGGATTTTCTTTGCACGCAAATTCATCCAGCGATCCGACAACACACCACCAAGCTGCTCACCCAAAAGAGATCCGATGATAGGACCCAGGAACTGAAGTCCGAGCTGCTCGGCATTCAAATCGAATTTAGTCTGCAGCAAACTGGGGATTTCCACAGTGGTCATTACGTTTCCCAAACAGAACACCATGGCGTATGCGGCAGTGGGGATGGCAACACAAGGATGTGTGACCATGCCCAGGGGTCTGAAGAACTCCTTGAACGACAAGGGAGAGGGGTCAATGCGTCGGAGCTGGGCATACTCCCGTACCCAAGCGGGCTGTTCGGGGTTATGGTCGCCTCCAATATACCGGGTCTCAGGACCCAAAAAGAGATACAAGATGAACTGCACACCGTTGATCTGAATATTGGAGATTGGTCAGCGATAATCTCTTCGTTGCACCAGTAACCCGACCGGGACATGGGAACACTTACGATTGCCAGGATCCAGTAAATCCATTGGTAGCCCAACCGATACGTAACGAAGCCAAAGATGAAGGGTCCGCTGGGGATTCCCAGCGTAATCAATAGCGTCCATATACCCATGTACCGTGCTCGGTCCTTCTTGAATGTCGTCTCCATTACCACCGCACTTCCGATCGCTTCCGCAGCCGTTAGCACGTCAGGTCATGAGAATAAGAAAGGCGTCTTACCTGAGGCAGGGGAAATGAAAAAAGCTTGCAAAGCCCGACAAACGGCCGTGGACGCATAACTAGTGCTTTCTGCACATCCTACATTACAGACGAGACTGCAGATTAAGGAAAGGAGGAAAATAGGGCGACGTCCCCAGCGGTTGGATAACGGTTTCCAGAAAATCGGTGCTACACCCAGGACTGCAATTTGGATGGAGGTCAAATAACTCGCGTCGTTCACCGAAACACCGAAATCACTCGCAATTCTGGTCTCATGGTCAGTGATTGAAGGCAATACAAAGGTTCCTGGAAGACCATACGTTTGATAAGCCGGGATGATGCCTGCAGCCGCAAAAGTGCCCATGCACGCATGAAACGCTACTAGGAGAAGATTTGCAATTTTCTAAAATCCGTTGACAATAGCCGTTAGCATGGTCCTTGTCCACGAAACGTCTTAACACCCTGCAAAAAGGTGATTCAACACCGCTTACCTTCCACGACGGCCAATTGTAAGGATCCGCAGGATCCATGCTGGGGATAGGATCGAGTTCCAGCGTTCCATGACGTTCCATCAAATAGTCACGGTGTGCCTTGGAAAGGTGAGAAGACACGATGTCTGCATATGTCGATGGGATGCCTGCTTCTGTGCTCTCTACAAAGTCGACATCTTCCTTTGCAGGCGTCTGAGCCGGGTGCATCTCCATGGCCCCAGACATATTGTGAAAAGCAAAACCCTGAACTGGGGAGCTTGTGGGACAAGGCAAGTGGCGATTCTTTCCAAGACTCACAACACACTGGAGATATCAAAAAAATGCAGGTTGTCTCAAGAGTCTGAAGAAGGGGAACGAAGAATGACAGAGAGGAGGAGGAGGAGATGGAGGAACCCAATGTGATGCCTAAGAGGGAAGAGCCCTGCCTCCCTATGCAACTAATCGGTTCACACAAAATGTTCCTAACCGGGGGGAAGAAGGAGGGTTCCACGCTCACCGGGAGATTGACCTATCACCGGGGGTGCTGTTGGTACCCTTCCTGGGGGATGTTCAAACCTGGAAGTGACGAGTCCCGCGAGTCCCGCGTACTGTTGGGGCAACTCGTGGGGAAGATGCGGAGGATTCCCTACGGCACAGTCCAGTCACGAAAGCAGCAATGGTCACTATGTTTTGTCATTGGGGATAGCGCATGATCCGCTCATTGGCCGGACCGAGCCAAAGAGTGTGTATCGCCGCCAGAAGCAACATAACCGAGGGCCCGACTACGGAGGACTCGGGGGATCCAGAATCCAGAATGGTTCTAGTAGCGACCCATTCGGCCATGTCGGCGGCGGGTTAAGTCTTTGGAGTGGATGCGCTCCTTCTCGGGAGGAGACATGGTAGACCAATGTTTCGCCTCCAAATCTCGGTTATTCCGCTGACCAGATTTGGGGCCAACTTTGCCGAGTTAAACGGATTACAAAGGGTTTGGCTAAGCAGTCGGCGTCAAGCTAACAATCTGCGGACGATAACTGCTCGGGCAGATCTCAGCGTGTGATGATGAAATCACTGTGTAACCAGGCATTGATTTTGATGTCTGCCTGGGGGGAGTGTGGGCTATTCAACACTAGTACCTCATAATACGCCCAACAAACTTGCATCTGCTCTATGCAGATGTCAGGGGCAGGGAAACAAGGTGTGATCAGTCAGTTTGTGGGAAAGGAGGTTTAGGACGCGTCCCGTACTACTAGTCTACTAGGGACTACAGGGTGCTACTGCGAGTCAAGATCAGGTGGGTGCTAAAGTACCCACACTATATACGTAGACACGGGGTCTGGAGTAGAGAGCGACTTTGAGTGGAGTTTAACGACTCGGCCTTTCAACTCCAGTACGTCTCCCAGAGCCGCTAACAAGTGCCGGGGTGTGACACGTAAGGAACTTACAGACTTTAGCGCTTTTACAAGGCAAATAACCACGGCCGCCGTGTACCGATACGGTTCTGTGACGTCCACGTGCCAAGAGCCAAGGCAACAGCGTTGCCACCACTTTTTCTGCCCCACAATTCAGGCCGGCTTCTCCTCTCCCCCATTGTTGACACAAAACCACCCGCTTAGTTTCCTGCTTCTCCACGAATTCCCCCCCCTCTCGCCCCCAGTCTGTATCTTATTTGGCTTATCCCTCCTTATCACCACTTTATCGTGGCGACTGGCTAGCTGGCTGGCCCTTGCTTGGACTATCTTGCTGGCTGGGTAACGTGGATGGGTTGTATGTCATTGTTAGTTGGAATCAACTTGATC